CCGGCCTCTAAGGGTCCCTAGTAGAATTTTGAGGGCCCCACCTGACTCTTAGAGCCTGTGTCGACCTCTGGGTGCTCCAGGATATGCCTTGGAGGATATCGGGCCAGCGATCGCTGAGCCCAGTCAGTTGACAGTTCTTACTCGAAAGTTTTCGAACTTTGTGCTCATCATGAACAACAACACGAACAACATTATCACTAACGTTAGTAACACTTTCGGTTTTTTCTTCATTCTTTCGAATTACGGCTTCCTCGTATTCGAATATCGCCCCACGTCGCTTGGGCCCGATCGACGAGAAACACTTGTGTTCTCCAAATAATGATACTTGTTTCTGATTAGCATGAATGTGATTATGTGACATTTGTGGGACCCACCTTAGAGCGATATTTGATCCCTTCACATAGGCCATATTGAAGGACATAGTCCTTTTTCTCACAGGCCCTTGTATTACTGAGTCCCTGCCTAGCTAAGCTCTGTCCTTCCCTGTGTTGGTGTCTTTCCTGTGCTCTGTTCCATGTGCCCCGCGCTGTTCCCTGTCCATGGCAAATGGCGTGCTCTGTCTCGTACTTTATACCTACCGTCATTCCCTGTGCCCAGTGCACGACATTTCTGCATCTGCTCTATCTTGTGCATTATCTTGCCTGTGCCTGGTCTTGTTTGCTTCCTGTCCTGCAGTGCATATGCCATGTCCTATCCCCTGCATACCTCCTACCCTACCTGATCTTTGTCCTGTCCTACGCCCTGTCGATTCTCGTGCCCGGCCCGACCCAGTGCCTTCTCTGTCTGATGCCCCAGTTAGGTAGTCCCTCCCCATTCGCCAATGCCCTTGCATGTCGTGCCCTTCTTTTTCCGATGAGTGAGTGGTCCATGATCTTCAAACCCATCAATTATGTGGCCTTCATTCTCCTTTCTCCCCAGCATCCCCGGCCTGCCTTCGATTTTTACATCCCTGCCCTTTACCCCCACCCTACTCCGTTCAGTTCGGTTTGACCCGGTCTAGTCAGTTTGAGTCTGCTGACTTTGCCCTTCCGTATCCTTTGCTGCTCAACAAGGAGAGAGTCAGGGCTAGGGGGAGGTCCCCTGCCAAATGCTCCGCAGTGTAGGGCGAATTCTTTCAAGCTTGTGCGATCATCTGGAATCGATCGGCACGTAATCTAGAAATGCAAATTGAAAGAGAACAAGTCATTGAGCTGGTAAATGTGCATCGAAAAAAAGTGATAAAGACTGCTTCCTTCCTTGTCAAAACTAAAACATCCTGAATACTTTCAAGAAAATAGCAATATTGATCATGCTTTGGCGGCATTTGTAATTTGAATATGATGCAAAAAGCTCACTTTCGGTCGTCGAAACTTGTACGGACATTCCGTACAAGTTTTGGGACCTTCCAAAACTTGTACGGACACTGTCCGTAGTGTCCGTAGTGGTGGCGACGCCCATGTTCGTGAATGCAAGCTAATGCTATCAGTGATTAACACGAACTTTTCTCAGGGACTTTGTCCATTATTTTAGCTTTCGCCAAAACACAGCTAGCCGTATCTCCAACAATTACTCACAACCGAGCTCAATTCGCATTTCCTCGAAGAAACATTTCACATCTCACCGTTTGAACACAGCTGGAAACATGGCCGCCAGGTGGCTAACGACGCCCCCGAGCGACTGCAGCGACATCTCCAGGCCGATCCGGTGCGTTACCATGACAACCAGACTCAGCCAGCGGTAGGTGACGGCCGCCCGACCGGCCGCCCCTGGCAGAGGTGAGGGGGAGGGGTGGCAATGTCACCCGTGGACAGGTACTCTACAGGTATGTATGTAGGTACATACTCTGTTGGTAGGCAAACAACAGAGTTCGAAAACAACAGTTGTTGTGTTCCAACAGCTCTCCAAAGCAGGGCGCTAGCAATAACCAGCCAAGAAGTTACAAATTAGAAAGCTTATGAAATGCACCAATGAATACGCCTATTTATTATATTTCATACCGTAAAGTGGGGCTATTTGAAACGGATTTTACAGTTTTTGGCCTCTCCCTTCAAAACGGTTGATATTTCCTATAGCATGTAAATTGTAAAACGCAGTTCTTTGAAACCGCTTCAGATAGGTCCATTTTGGTTCAGCTAGTAACCACAAATAAACTTACTTGAAGCCTGTCTCAAATAGCCCCATAGTGTGGGGCTATTTGAGACAGTTTTAGTTGCAAGGAAGTTGAAGAAAATTGGTCAAGCTAGGGATAATTCTTTTAACGCCATGCGATTGGGAATTAAATTTTGATACTTGTGCCAAAAAGTATTTCTTTCAAATGCAGTTATGTAACCTCATAATCAGACTTTTCGTTTTTCGTTGGACGTAACATTTCGGTCTGTCAAAAAAATTGCATTACTTTATGCTTGGGCTGTCATAATATGATGCAACCCTAAGCTTTAAAAATCACAGGATGATTATATAGGAATAGTACTAAGTCAACGACAGTGAAATTTTCCAAATAAGTTGTTGTGTTTGTCTCTGGCGGCGTAAAACATATAGGCCGAAAGTTGGTGGGGCTATTTGAGACAGGCTCGCTAATGCATTTAACACACCGCAATGCATTAAAAAGGGAAAACAGTTTTTAACATGGTTGAATGAATGGCATGCATGATCGGTTGTTCCATTGCACATCAACCTGTAAAGAAATAACAGAAAAAGGTCAAACGGTTTTGATTTTATACCGATCTTTCTAAATCACTGCATGTTGTATCGAATGGCCGGTTACCGCACTGTATCAAGTAGGTACGTATACTGAAGGCTCACCTAACAGTACGTATGTATGATAAATGACCTTCAATGGTGCCTTCTGGTCAACCAGAGTAGACATGGGTTCATTACCGACTACGTCAGTGACTGATGAAGCACATTTTATGCACATATTCACAGAGGTAAGTAATATCGTCACAAACTGGAAGGTCACATTGAGCTACGATGTGTAAATATTGCTTGCTGCTAAAAGTATCATGAACCCATGGCTGATTAACCGGTGTTTCTTAGATCGAACGTTTTATACACTTTAGGCAGATGGCGGTAAGTCTTTTCGGATGCATCATATCACCTGTTTTTAGGGCCTTGGCATCACAAACATCAGCTGTATTTGGCATATGTTGAGGTTTGACGAGGTGGGTATCATCGGGATTCTGAGACATTAGGTTACACAATCGTCACTACCGTTAACAATATATAATGTCTTCATGAAAAATGTGCTTAGCCCATAAGCAAAACGATACTTACGATAGATTCGGTTGCAAAGTTTTCAAAACTTCAACCATGTTAAGGTGTAGGTAGGGGTGCTTTTCGTATAACTTAAATTGTGTTTTTTTTCTGTATTCCTCGTTTAATGCCAAAGTTCTTTCAAAAAATTTTTCAAAGTTTTCAAAAAATCCTATCAATGGAATTCACCGTTAAATTCTATATCACCCTGTGCAAAAATTGATGAAAAATATCAAACGGTTTAAATTTTACAGCAATTTTACTAAACCAATACCGTACTGTCTCAAATAGCCCCACTGTCTCAAATAGCCCCACTTTACGGTACTCATTAACAGTCATGCATTATTCTGAACGAAATCATTTGACATTTCACGTTACGACTATGTCATGCTCAATATGGTCAACAACTACCGCATTCTGTGTTTGCAACATTCGATGTAGCCCATTTTGATGTAGCTAATTTGAAAATTGGTGACATTTTGACATGAGCAATGAGCAGTCTACAAGGCAAACGGCTTAAAAAGCCGTCGCTGACGTGTTCCGTGATGAATTTGGAACACTACGCCTTGCGTTTTGTGTATTTGGCCTGCAACTGCAGTTCCCTGAGAACGGTCTACAGGCGCCGGCAATGCAAGCCGGCTGATGATATGACCACTGACCAGACAAACGGCCAGTGAGCTACCTGACTAACGACTTAGGATTAACTAGCCAGGAGAGAGCAGCCTAAAGCCTCACTGCGCCAAATAATCACGAGCGAGCGCGAAAGAGCCTTTCACGGTAAAACCGCGAAATTTAAGTATGAGCGGCTCGGCCTGACCTGCGCATCTTTTGGAAGATTCACAACCGTACATCAGTTTGACCAATGGTTTTCTCGGATAAATGATTAAGTAGCCCCATCCTTCCTGTCGTAAGGCAAGTACCACATGTTTGTCCTAGTGTAAAAAATAGCTCAAATAATCTAAAAAGGCGTCTCAGTGCTCACCTGATGGAAAAGTAAGGTCCCCGTCGACAACCGTTCGAAGTACGGGCTGGAACACACCCGACAGCAGAGACTCCTAGCGGACAAAAGGCGAAACGAGGTCAGCGACGGTCGCCGACCCCGCGAGGTCACAGCCCGTTGGGTACAGTGACATTAAACACTGCATCTTTGCGGTTTGTTTGGTTTCTAACTACCCAATTGAAAAGTCGGTGAGTGGAAACAGAACTATCTGAGGCGATAGGGGATGATTGCAAGTAGACCGTTCATAATATAATGCTGACAGTGTCAATCGTTCCAAAAAAGGCGAAACTGTCCAGTGTTCAGTGGAGAGGGCTTGATCTGCAAAATCTATTTTGTCCGGTCGTCTTGCGAAAGCACGCTCCATCAATGACGTGGAAAACAGTGAATCACAAGTCTTATCTAACAGGGTGTACATCAGCAGTAACAGTATTCCACTGACAGCCAGTTGATAACTGCCAATAAATTAGCATTATCATCAATCCCCGTTCACGAACAGGGATTCATGGGAACGCATCCATGACAGCACCACTCCAAACAAAAGCGACGCATCATATTTATTTGACGAACCGTATTTATAAATAAAAATATAACAGACTCCTACGTAACGCTCGAGAACAATACGCTCAGTGGACAGACCATGACTGGGTTCTATTAGATGATATGTTTGTCACAATGGCCAAGGCAGCCAAGATTGTTGATACAATTTCGTGACCATTCGGATAATGGGATGCCAGACCGAGGCCATTGAGTCGAAATCCATTCAGTTCCAAGTGCACTGGGTGAATCAGATAAAAACAGAATCATTTCGACCGGCATATACTAACGGGTTAATCGATTAGAAGCATAAACAACTTCCGCCTAAGCGAAAATAAACAACATTCGCCTAAGCGTAGCAACAGCTAATAATCAGTGTTGCGGATTCTGATCTGACCAAATGTATTCTGACCGTCTCAGATTATAAGGAAAAATCAGAAGGGAAGGCGTCCCCAGGGAAGGCGCAGACGTTGTGTATACGATACCCATGACCCATCTGGGTCCACGCCGACATAAACAACTTGGCAGTTCGCTAGCATAAACAGCCATGTGCACCAAATCACATGGACAGCATGACCGTCCCAGAAATCGCCACATACCAGACCCTACAGTACGAATACTGGGTACAGGCGGAATACTGGGTACTGGGTGGTGCAGACAAGTAAACCGACTTAGAAGAAGACTGTTGTCATTGATGTGAGCAGCTTTCGCCCCAGTACCACCCCACGCCCAGCGGAGGACTCTTCAGGACTACAACGGACGGCCCCAGGTAAGTGCAGGCACACTTACTTGGCCAGGAAGCTGGCGATAGTCGTCCCTCGTGCTCGTACAGTCCCGACCTAGCTCAATGTGACCCTCAGTTGTTCTTGATACCCGAAGAGCATGTCCGGGAGCTTTGTTATATTTGACAAAATAGCTGTGTTTATAATAGAAAAGTGTGCAGCTGTGGATATATGGGTGGCAAATGCAGGTGTATGTATAATGTACATACACGGTACACCTACAATTCACTGTACAATTTCACATACCTACTACGTGGATAAGAGTGTGCCTATGTAAGAGGTAAAAAACGGGCGTTAACATGATATCCAGGATAACCCTTTTCGAATCTCTTACAGGATAATCAGGATGTCAGCTCAACAGATGTTTAAGTTGTACACGCATTTCGGATTCACGATACAATGAAACCATTAATCTCCATATATCAGTTGATAACTGAAACCAAAGCTGGTGTGAACACTACTTCAAACGACACCTAGGCACCAAAAGCTCCACTAATCTGACCTATGACCAGCGCTCTCAGTCAATTTATTACAATAAGTCACTCTCCATCATTTGACTCAGCCATGCAGCAATAGTCCCCTCTCCCTCCCCTAAAACGTCCCTCCCCCCTGACTGACCTGGAGCAGGTCCATGAGCAGCGTGTCACTCAGGTAGGGCAGCACGTGCAACAGCAGCGTCAGGCCGCCAATCAGCGCCGACTCCACCGATGACGTCAGACGCCGGTGGGCGGAGCCACACACCTCAGTCACATGCGTCAGGTACTGGTGCAGAATCAGCTGTTCGCCGTATAACTCTGAAAAAGTACACCGCACAGTATCATTGCAGTTAAATCAGACGGCTGAAAGCTTAGACAATGCGCAAACCAAACTCAGATGATGCTCGACAAGCTAAAATCAATAATACCTTATGTTCGTGAAGCTGGAGCAGGTAGATCAGTCTACAAAATCATTCTTATTGTGCCACATTTACAGAAATGTCGCATGTTGCCAAGCATACGAGAGCACTGCTTTTGTCTTATTGCTTCTCTTACAGCGCAATATTTCACAAAATATCATACATCATCCTTCAAGGAGACGTAAATGTGACAAACGTGACGAGCCGAAATGCAGGAACCTTGTAACTACTAATCCATTTTTTAGTAATCAGGTTCCAGAGTCCAAAGATGCGATCTGCCCCTCCAGGCGGTATATCTTTATTGATTTATTTCCATGTGTGTATATTTTTTCTGTGCCAAGAGGTCATCACCGCGCCAGCGACCCCCACCACCCTATCCGTGTGCCAGTACCTGCAATGCTGCAGAGGCAGAGCAGCACCTTCTCCGAGTTGGAATCGCCGGTAATGTTGCGACTGTACACACCCTGAGGTCGCTCCGGCGCCGGCTGGAGCAGAGACACACAAACAGGCCATGTGAACCGGATCGAACCAGACACAGCCGGTAGAGACCGGTGTCAGCTGGATACCGGTACCGGGTACTTGGGTGATGAGGGACCTGGTTGAGGTGTTACTCTGGGATGTTACAAAAGAATGAGGTAGGAATCAATAGCTGAACACCATAGGCAGCGGAACGGGGAGGGCACCGGGGCACCGTGCCCCCTTTGATTTTGGCATTTTAACATTAGCCAGGGCGTTGCATGGAAAGAATGGAACCAAAAGTCGGCAGTGCCCCCCCCCCCCTTAACTGAAGGTGTTCCGCCGCTACTGCTGAACACGTAATCTAGTGTACGACAGTGCACAGGCATGCACGCGCTGGCCCCCCACCCGTCAGCTGGTGTGGGGACTGGGGGAGAGGGGGGGTGTGCTCTGTACATACATCCCTCTGCTCCGGGGACCCCTGCTACCAAAATCAAGGTCCAATGCAGTGATCTCAGCAGGTCTATAAAGGATACCAAGATCCTGGTAAAGTCGGGTACAGCGCTGCTGCCAGCCAATAACTGACATTCTGATTGGTCAATGGATTGATGACGTATAGTACCGTCCCACGAGAAGACGTCATATCCCTGCCGACAGTCAGTTGCTCGAAAAGGGGTGGTGCTGGGAACACGAGCCGTCAGCGAGTGTCATTAATAGCGCTGTGGAGACGGCGGCGCAGTAAACAAATGAAGTGTCAAATTCCTACTGAGAACTAATTATTTACAGTGTCACACATGCAGGCGATCAGCCATGATTGACACTTTTCGTCAGCTGGAAGAATAACATGCCGTCAGCAAGCGGGTGGCCCTTATTTCAGAAGGCAGTCGATTCCGACTATATCCAGAGGTCTGGGAGCTGTAAGAGGCACCAAAATGCATCGTCACTTACAACCCTGTCCACTCATTTCCCAGACCCCCGTCGAAGTTTATTGGCATGATAAAAGTAACTGCACGACAGAAAGGTTCTCGGGTTTCAGCAGAAGCAGTACCCTTCAAATTATAGGTATTCCGGGAACGTTGAATGGTAAAACCATGAGATAAAGCACACTAAGTCCTACTCCTAATATCATAAAACTAGACACATAGATAACATGATCGACGTTATCTATGTTAGACACAAACATATTTTCTTGGAAGGAATATTTCACCCATGCGCACTCGCGCATGAGGTACCGAATTATAAAAAAAATACCATCGCATGTTTTCTGCAACGGTATCAATCTTTTGGAATGTAGTAAGGTCCGACGGAGGTAAAAAACTAGCGACGTGAGCCACAGCTGAGAAAACGAGAGCCGAGAATCAAGACCTTGGACGTCATGTAGGTCAAGCTTGAGAAAATACCATCATACATGCTAGCACTTACAAGGAAATGATGATTATGACGACACATCCTTATAAAGGTATGCGCCTTTCAAAGCCATTATCCTTTTGCAAACAAACATTCACGAAGGTACGCTCCTACTAACATTGGCACACTCGTAGTTAACTCAATGAAGGCGTGCGTCTTGCGATTGTATGAAAACATACCTTTACAAATGCACACGTCTATAGGTACTCTGTTTCATTACAAGCTTGCGGCCGAAGTGCCTTGCTGAAAGCAGTGCGTGATTTCTGTATATGCAGCTCTTACATTCAAAGACGCAAAACATTGAACGGAGGAGGAAAATAACTTATATGGCCTTGGAGGAAAATACCGAAGGAAATTCGACCGCAAGCTTGATATGGAACAGAGTATAATACAACACCCGTCCCACCTTGAGGGCCTCGGGGTCCGAGTAGCAGACGGCCAGCATCCTGAGTAGGTTCCTGGCCAGGTGACGCGAGGTGAGCACGGGTCCCAGCCGGTGAGCCAGCCACATTACCGACTCGGCGGCTACGTCCGACACCAGGCAGCCCGACGATCTGTCGACGGAGAGAGGGCGGGGGGAGGTGAGAGGGCAGAGGTGGAGAGAGACGGAGGGGTGGAGGTATGGGGGCGGAGACAGGCACACAGATACAGGGAGACATAGTGGAGAAGAGGGAGGGAGAGAGAGAGAGGGAGAGAGAGAGGGGGGGAGAGACAGAGAGGGAGAGAGGGCAGGGGAGAGGGGAGGAGAGGAAAAGAGAGACGGAGTGAGATAAAGACACTTAGCAACACCCAGATGGGACCTATCATATGTCCATCCAATCAGATATTTCATAAACAAAGTTACGGTCGGGTGCCAATCACCATCGACTCTTCCAGTGAGAGCAGGTCATTACCACTAAATATTTGGCAGACGGCAGACCCTGAGTAACCCCATCTCAGAGATTAGGTTAGTCGTCAGTAACACAGTGAAAAAGGGCGCACATCATGGATTCATTCCTATGTTTCATAACTTTTGAAAATACCTCTTTGGGCGGGGAAGCCAGCTGTGGCAAGACTTTTTTTCTTCGAACAACAGTTTCCGAGATATAGCCTCGGGCAATTCCTGGAGGTCGCGCTGCAGCCCTATGTTTGGCGGCCTATAGCTCAGAAACTATTGGTTTTCTACGATAAAAGCATAACATGGTTCAACTCACAATCAACCATCTTTGACCTGACCTGAAAATGACCTCAGTAAAAATTGTAGACCTTATCCATGTGTACCCTGTACCGTTTACCGCTTGTCGCTATCTTGCTTTGTTCTCGAGATCTCGCTGTCGCTCCTGCTCATAATAATGGACCGGTCATAAAAATGACCTGACCTGAGGTCAACGCAGGGCGATAGCCACTTTTTTATTGTCGCATATGAATGACAATTGATAAGGCTTTAATCGTCATCAGACAAAATTTTAACTTTCAGTGGGGAAAATATCAAGGCCACTCTTTGAAAAATAGGTCAAAAGGTCACGTAATCAAAAATTTCAAAAAATAAAAACCCCAGATAGCCAAAATGTTTGTAGGTTGATTTTGAGTTGAACCATATAAAGTTTTATCATAGAAAACCAATAGTTTCTGAGTTATGAGCCGCCAAACATAGGGTTGCAGCGTGACCTCCAGGAATTGCCCGAGGCTATATCTCGGAAACCGTTGTTCGAAGAAAAAAAAATCCTTGTCACAGCTGGCTTCCCCGCCCATCACAACCCCTTACACCAGTTTTCAACGAAGAATAAAATATGTGGGTGCAAATTTAATTTTTTATTTGTCGATTTGTCGTGGAACAAATCGACAAAGTGAACTGCATCATGCAGGATACCCTAATGAAAAGTCAGTTGGGTGAAAACTGCGGCGATGCCTTGTGGCTGAACTTCGTCGAGCGACTTGTGTTGGCAATTATGTGAATTTATTCTAGTGCAATTTCTTAAAAGGTAAGTTTCAATACAGCAAACAGGTCAAAATATAATAGCATTAAAAATTTAAAAATCAATTAGCATCTGAAATATTCGGGACGCATACTGGGACACGGTAGCTAGAGCCTGAGGAAGGGAAGCGGTGCTAGAGCACGTGCCGGAGGCCTGTGGAATAGCGGCCGAATGAAAGGCTGTTCCACCATGAAAGGCTGTTTCATTGCAGAGTCTATCATACGTCCCTCTCGATGCATGAAGGATGGGAGGAGTTTCGGGCACCCGCACTGCAGACGCCATATTGGCGGCTTATGAAGGGTAACAGGTCTCCCCGATTATCGGGCGACTATCAAAACTAGTTGCAGCTACTGTAAATAATCAGCCTCTGATGCATGTCACATACAGCCGCACAATTCAGCCCTGTCATCACTGGACAGAAGGGATCATCATAGCGCAACCCGAGACCGTTACAATAACATAGGCTCATGACCAGCACTTTTACAGCGGCGAGCGACGGCCACCCACGATAAACAGCTTCCAACGCAATTAACAGTGGCCACACGGTTATACAGCAGCTGGTGGCCCTGGCTCAGTCCAGACGTGAACATCACGACAACGACGCTTCAGACAGTCCGGCTATCTCGGGCTAAAAACGGCTCCATAAACCAGATTCCGCAATCGGGAAATCACAGGCGACCTCTCTAATTTCAAATATTTATTTATGCTTTCAAGGTCTTTGGTGTGGCTGGACAAATGTTTCCATGTTTTCTGAGCTGATTATACAATATAAGGGCTTAATTGTAAACATATGGACAGTGCGACCAAAGTAAACTAGCCTTAAATGAAGCCCATATAAAGTCTAGACACGTATAAACTGGAAAACATTACACCACGACCACGGACCAAACGCGCACAGACAGCACATCACGAGAAAATACATTGTCTGAGGTCGTGCACCATCAAATGCTTAATCCGGCAGGGTATAGACATAAGTTCACAAACAGAAAAAAAAGAATGGGAGCGAGAGCATTTCAATGGCTGGTTACGGGCCCACGAGACCGTATGTAAAGCTTGATACACAGCGCCAATCCAACGCCCAGGCGGGCCCGACCACATCGCCCAAGCTCGGTTCAACGGCAAAAGATCACACCGAATGAGGATTATCAATAGACAGGTGTGACATATTATAGTGCATGTATGGCCTAAACTTTTGAATTCATTTAAAAAGGGGGAAAAAACGCAAGAAATTATCACAATAATTATTACCCCCAATAATAATATATTACCCCCAATAATTAGGGTAATTTCTTGCGTTTTTTCCCCTTTTAAAATGAATTCAAAAGTTTAGGCCATACATGCACTATAATATGTCACATCACACCGAATGTTCACATCCAGCGTAGCGCGGAAGACGGCGGCTGGTCCTGATGACTCTGGTGCGTCCTGCTCTTTGACAATGCCAATTGGGTCAACCCTCGCCCGACGTATCAATTTTCTATGTCCTGCTCGAAAGACCAGGGAGGCATATGCGACCAGCGCTGCGGAGTCGGAATTGGTGTTGGGGTACCAAAATTGTAGCGGTCTTTGTACTCCCACATGCTTCTGTACGTTGAACGCTTTATTGTACACAAAAATGAAAGACGTAAAGGGAAGGATACATTGAAAGGCAAACAAAGGAAAAAGATAGAAACAGAAGGAATGGCACAAAACACAGCCTTGCGCGCATGCAGCAAAGTGGGGTTTCTGCAAGCAGAGACAGCACATAACACAGTCAATGACACAGAAGTTAATGAGCGATGACCATTGACAGACAAAGAGAAAATGAAGATGGCAACAACCAATGATAAGCAAACATATGAAAAAGTAGATCATATGCAAAGTAAAGCGTTACCGAAGTTTCCGCTCCCAGTTCATGCCAGTCTCAGCATAGCAGTCTCAGCATGCCATCTCATCATGCCAGCTTGTCAGTTCAGGCACACACAGTTAATATTTATACATGTCTGTCAGTGCAAGACCTGAGAAAAGAGAAACCTCAGTAAGACTCGGTGGTCGCAACACTCCCCCCAGTGCTTATCCTAGGCCTGAGGAGAACACTAACTGGAGCGACCATCGTCGATTATTCAGCGTTCAGCTCAATGATCGCCGAAAACTTACGCTAGACACATTAACTCAAAATACGCACGAACGCACGCGTCAAGCACTGCACATCTCAGAGAAAAGCAGATATCGCACAGCAGCTTTAGCATCCAGCACTCAGCCTCCATGCACTGTCACCTGCCCGTTCTCCGGCCAGTCACTCAGATATCGTACAGACGCACCGCGCCGGCGAACCGTAACGCCGAAACCGTGCGCAAAACTATAGAGTCCATCATCCGCTACACCTCTCCACTCAGCGTTCGTCCGAGCAGCTCACGCAGTCGTCCGCGCCAGGCAGACGCCGTCTCTCCCCAGCCTCGCATCCTCCGCTCAGCGGCCAGAGCTCAGGAGACCCCGTCGGCGGCGGGCCAGGTCTCGGAACCAGTCCCGAGCACACAGCCGATCACAGGTCCAGCGCAGCACGCCGCCACCCCTCAGCTCCAGGACGCGGCCATGCAGTACGTCAGCAGCCCGAGGCTTCTCCGGGTCGAGCATCGAACAGTACGCTGGGCGCATCGTGTCAGTGCCAATGGATGAGGTACTGTTTAACAGGTAAGACAGGGGGCCAGGACGGTACTTGAATAGGGCTAGGATAAACAGCGCCTAGCAACAGAACTTTCACTCTTCATGACTTTCATTCTCGCTTTCACGGCCGTTTGCTCAGTTTCTTCCCTGAACGCAGCTTTCTAAAAAGCATATCTTGTTCGCTGGTCGTCGATAGGTAGATCCGCTGGAGGTCTGCACTGTCACAGTCCGGACACGACCATCATCTCCCGGAGAAACTTCCGTGACCTTGGCCAGCGGCCAGTATCCTCGTGGTGACCCCTGCTCGACCATGAGCACGATATCTCCAACTTGCAGATCGCGATCTTCATGAACCCATTTCTTCCTCTGGATGAGCATGGGCAGGTATTCACGCTGCCAGCGGCGCCAGAGCTGGTTGGCCAGAACCTGGGATTGCCGCCATTTCCCTCGACCCAACGCATCACCATCAGTGAACATCCCTGGAGGAAAGGCAGCCTGAGGGCTACCCAGAACGAAATGGTTGGGCGTGAGAGGCTCAGGGTCATTGATGTCCGAACTCACGTAAGTGAGTGGGCGACTGTTGATGGTGAATTCTACTTCCACCAGCGCGGTGTGCAGTACGTCCTCACTGACACACTGGTTGCCCAACACCACTCGCAAAGCGCGCTTAACCATCGCCACCAACCTCTCCCAAACACCGCCCATGTGGCTGGCGGTGGGAGGGTTAAAACGCCACTCGATGTGTCGCTGACTAAGTTCGTCGGTGATCTGCGCCTGATTCCACGCATCCAGACAACTCCTAAGCTCCTTTTCACCTGCGACCAGATTCGTGCCATTATCTGACCAAATGACACGCGGACGCCCTCGGCGGGCAAAGAAGCGCCTGAGGGCCATGAGGAACCCATCTGTATCCATCGAGCTCACAAGCTCCAAGTGCAATGCACGCGTCGCCAGGCAGGTGATGAGCAGCACATAGCGCTTTTCGGTCTTGCGGAACTTCCGAACGGGGAGTGGGCCACAGTAGTCAAGGCCAACACATGCAAACGGTCGAGACATGTCAAACCGACTCGCCGGTAGGTCCGCCATCATTGGAGTCGGGGGCTGCGCACTTCTCCTCCTGCAGTACGCACAGTTGTAGATGAGCTTTCTTGTTACTGATCTTGCCTTGGGTATCCAGTAGTGAAGCCGCAGCTCACTGAGCGTCTGCTCCAGACCTGCGTGCAGTGCCCGTCTGTGGACATCGGTGACGATCAGTCTGATCACGTCATCGTTCTTACTGATGAGGAGAGGATGACGACAGGTCTCAGCCAGTGGGGCATTACGGAGACGTCCCCTCGCTCGGAGCAGTCCCCGCTCGTCGACATACGGGGAGAGATGGAGAAGCGTGCTGTCCTTCGGCAGCCGAGATCCACTGGCGACAGCTTGCAGTTCGGCATGGTACGCCGCCCGTTGGAGCTCTCTGAGGACGAAAACCTCAGCTGACTGGACCTCAGCCGACGTAAGAGCTCCACTTACACGGCTGTCTTTACTCCGCCTGGCGTTCTCGCAGAATCGCAGCACCCAAGCCACCGTGCGTTTGTACTTCACCCACGATGAGTACCGGGAAGGATCCACCAGTGGCCCCTCGCTGCTCTGTGCTGCAAATACTGCTTCATTTGGAGTCTTCATTTCTGCGTCTTCTGCGCTTTGCGTTGACGTGACGCGTTCCGGAGGCCATTCTTCACGATCCTTGGTCAAGAACTCGGGGCCCGACCACCACAGTGAGCATGTCTGGAGGTCCGGGCCTGACATCCCGCGAGAGCAAACGTCTGCTGGGTTGAGCTCACCGGGAACATGGTGCCACTGCTCAGTCTCTGATGAATCTTGTATTTCTGCGATCCTGTTGGCGACGAAAGTGTGGAACCGACGACTTTCGTTTCTTAAGAACCGCAGCACCACAGAGCTGTCGGTCCACAGGAAGATTTCATCGAGACTGCACGTGAGCTCTCCTTTGACGAAGTTGGCCAGCCTCACCCCCAACACAGCAGCCTGCAGCTCAAGGCGAACAATTGTCAATTGCTTCAAGGGAGCGAGACGAGTCCGTGACATGATGAAGGAGGTGGTGTTCGTGCCGTCGGCACATGACATCCTGAGGTATGCGACTGCACCAAAGGCCTTTTGGGATGCGTCACAAAAGATGTGAAGCTCTCGACCTGTGACTTCACCATCCGGCGGAACATCAGCCGCGTAGCATCGCTGGATCTCGATGGTCTCGAGATGAGGCATCTCCGACAACCAGTTCTCCCAAGCCAGGAGTTCTTCTCCGCTCAGCTGGCAGTCCCAGTCGAGCTTCAGCTTCCAGAGGTGCTGGACGAGCAGCTTGGCCCTGAGAACAAACGGAGAGACGATTCCAATAGGGTCGAAGACCATAGACAGTCTTCTTAGAACGCCACGCTTGGTAGCTGGGACGTCCATGTCTGTTACCTTCACGCCGAGAACATCGCTACCAGGCCTCCAGACGCATCCTAGGGCACGCTGGATGCCCTGGCCGAGATGCGCCAAGTCGAGCCCGGATGCACTCATTTCATCAGCTGGGACACCTTGGAGAGCTTCTGGTTTGTTCGTGGTCCACTTCGTCAAACGGAAACCGCCCTTGGCCACCAGCTCAGTCACGTTCGTACGCATCTTCCTCGCCTGTTCTACATCTGGAACCGAAACAAGCAGGTCATCCATGTAGAAGTTGCGCTTGACAGATTCAACAGTGGCTCTCGACTCATCTGTGTCCTCCTTGTGGTCCTCCGCCGTTCTTCGTAGAGCGTAGTTGGCCAGGGTCGGGCTACATCGGGCGCCAAATATGACGACCATCATTTGATATGTATCTGGAGGCCTGCTCCTATCCATGTGCCGCCACAAGAAGCTAAGCGCCGGCTGGTCCTCCACTCTCACCCGCACTTGGTGGAACATTGCTTCCACATCGGCCACGAGCGCCACTTTCTCCTGTCTGAACCTGATCAGAACACCAACCAGACTTTGCAGGAGATCAGGGCCGGTGATGAGGGCATCGTTGAGGGAGATTCCTTCACAGCGGGCAGCGGCGTCGAACACTACGCGGACTTTCGACTTGTTCGGGTTGCTTACCGCGTGATGGGGGAGCAGCCATCTCTTTTCGCTGGGCCTGGCCAGCTCCTCCGGTGACACTTTGCGGGCGTAGTTCTTCGTCACATAGCCCATCAGAACGTCTTCATAAGCGGCAGCTTTTGCTGGGTCACGAGACAGGCTCCTCTCCAACGATTGCAGTCTTCTCTCGGCCATCTTCCTGTTGTCAGGCATCTTCACGCCGTCTTTCTTCCACAGCAATCCGACCTCATAGTGACCATCTCGCAGCTTAGTCATCTCGTTGAGAGTAGCCTGCGCTCGGATGTCATCACGTGAACGAGACACTTGCCCTTCAAACATACTGCCGAACGACTCAGTAGCCCAGAAATCCTTCACAGCATCACAAAGATCCGATTCCTCAGTGGCCCGATGAATCAACATCACATCTCGCACTTGTCTGGGAACAAGCTCAGCCACAGATCCGGTGAGCGTCCAACCGAAGACAGTCCTGATTGCTACAGGATCCCCTGGGTTTCCTGTCCTCACCTCGAGCTGGAGAACTGCCTCGATGACGTTAGCCCCTAAGAGGAGCTCTACCTTCCGTCCACGGCAGTCCGGTAGCTTCAGGCCCTGGACATGATGCCAGTGCTTCACTGGGAAGTGAGGCACCGTCAGATTGATTTCCTTCACTGAGAATGCTTCCGGCACTACAACTGCGTAGCCTTCATCTCCGTCAGTGATCAGCTGCAACTGCAACCTCCTCGTCCTCTGCTGGGAGCCACTGCCTTCCACGTTTCGCAGCCGAAGTGTCTGCTGCTCTCCCTCCAGACCAAGTTCTTCAACAACATCCTCTGCAACCAGGGACGTCTGAGAGCCAGGATCAAGGAGCGCACACACCTTCCTGGTCTTACCACCTTTGCCGACAATAGTGACCTGCACCACCTGCAGGAGAGTTGTTACAGGCTTGCCACCCAGAGATGCGGCAGCAACCACTCGCTGTCCGTCCACCTCAGAGCCTGGCACCTGGCTACTGGACTGAACGCCGACCCTCTTGCTGCCATGCAGCAGCCTGTGGTGCTTCATCTTGCAACCCTCGATGTTACATCGTTTTGCAAAACGACAATGTCTGACTACATGACCTTTCCTCAGGCAGAAGAAGCATGCTCCGGACTTGGAGACAAGGATGGCTTTCTCGTCCACAGGCTTGCTGAGGAACGTGGGACAGGTTGTTACATCATGGAGAGCTTCACAGCAGATGCAGACCTTGCCCGACATGTGCTGAGCCTCCGTCACCAGTGCCGTTCGCTGGACTGTCCGTTCCATGGCGCCTCCTTGTTTCCTCCCCTCGTTGGCACTTCTTCCTGTTGGCTGCCTGCCAGGCTGCTTCGAGACAGCAGCATAGTTCAGGGCTATCCTGACTTGCCTGCGCAACCAGGAATCCAGGTGCAGAAGACTGGGTCTTGCAGGCTCGAGACTCAGAACATGTTCACTCCACCTTTTCATGAGATCTGAAGGCAGCTTTTGCACGACACGCCTCAGATTCTCAAAACTGTTCAGGTCCCCATCGTATTTCATACTTTCAAACACAGCTATGGCGCAATGGATTGTGGACTGGAATCTTTCTAGGCTGATCGGGTCCTGCAGAGAAGGAGAGGGACATGCAAACACCTTCTCCAGAGTTGAGCTCACAATGTCCTCCTGTCTGCCGAATCTTTCCTGGAGCATCTTGATCGCCTCACCGTACAAATTCCCATCATACAGCAGCCCCTTTATGGTCTGTTGCGCCAATCCGGTTACTGCAGACTGAAGATGAATCATCTTTTCAGTGGGCGTCAGCATCTCCTGATCATGTACCAGGGTGCGAAAGAGCGCAAACCACTTCACCCACTCTCCCGGATTACCATCAAACTTCGGAAGTGTGAGTCGGGGAAGGGCACAGTGAAGCAGTGGTTCTGAAACACCACGGGTTTGTAGTTGAGAAGCACCTGGATGCTGGTTGGCTCCATCAGTGGTAAGCTCATTCCCATTCCGAGTGGGTACATTGACACCAGCACTGGTCACAGCAGCGTCAGCTACACCAGCTGTAACAGGACACTGATCAGGATGGGGACGTTCAGAACGATCACGTGGTACATTGAGACAATGGGGGAGGTCTGAACCCAGTGTCGCAGGTTCCACAGCAGAGCCACGATCCAGCCCAGGACGGTCAGTGGGAAGCTGAGCCGCGGGTTCTCCAACAAAGTCATCCATCCGATCCCTGTTAAGATCATCCCCAGTCTCTGCGGCGCACAGAAGCTGGGCCTCGAGTTCAGCAGCTGCTCTGGCGTCCTCTGCCGCCTGTAGCTGAAGTTTCCTCTGTATTTCCTGTTCTTGCTTTTGCAACTCCAGCCGTTGTCCAAGTTGCTTAGCTTCAAGACGCTTTACCTTTGCCGCAATCCTGGCTCTGTCAGATGCCGTGGACTTGGAATTGGAGACATGGCTGCCAGATGCCACAGATGGTGCCTCGTCCTTCCGGCTGATCAAATGCTCTTCGATTCTGCTAACAGCGTCCTCATATTGTTTCTCTACATCCTTCATGTACACTGCAGCTGATTCGAGCTCCACGTCTTCTGTCAGCAATGACACATACTGCTCATTCACCTCCTGAATTGCCTCCAAGGCCTGATCCAGATCCTTCAATAGCTCACTTAGCTGGGTGCGGCTTCCCTTTGCATCGATGATGATGAAGGCACGTCTCCTGATCCTGGTCAGGTTTCCCAGCTTCTTAGCCCTGGCACCTTTCAGCGACTTGACATCCATTTTGTACAATAATTCAACAGACTGAGCAGCAGAGAGATGAGCCGATCCTTGTAGGTATGAGACTTCAATGTCCAACACGGACTTCGAAACTGTAGCGGTCTTTGTACTCCAACATGCTTCTGTACGTTGAACGCTTTATTGTACACAAAAATGAAAGACGTAAAGGGAAGGATACATTGAAAGGCAAACAAAGGAAAAAGATAGAAACAGAAGGAATGGCACAAAACACAGCCTTGCGCGCATGCAGCAAAGTGGGGTTTCTGCAAGCAGAGACAGCACATAACACAGTCAATGACACAGAAGTTAATGAGCGATGACCATTGACAGACAAAGAGAAAATGAAGATGGCAACAACCAATGATAAGCAAACATATGAAAAAGTAGATCATATGCAAAGTAAAGCGTTACCGAAGTTTCCGCTCCCAGTTCATGCCAGTCTCAGCATAGCAGTCTCAGCATGCCATCTCATCATGCCAGCTTGTCAGTTCAGGCACACACAGTTAATATTTATACATGTCTGTCAGTGCAAGACCTGAGAAAAGAGAAACCTCAGTAAGACTCGGTGGTCGCAACAAAAATCTTGCCGACTCTGACTTAGGAGACGGAGCACTACGTGCTCCAAAGTCATACTCTTCACCTGTTTGCTTGACCATATTACGCTCGTTGATCTTACGCTCGTTTTCAAATTATACCTTATCGATGCTCTCAGCCCATACTTTTATTTTGGACGAGTGTTTTCAGCGAAAAACAGCAGAACACGGCGTTATCTGATATTATCTTATATTAGATTGTATTTTTACTTGTATTTACGTCAGCACAAACTCCACAACAGGGTGGCTATTACGTGTCAATTGTCAGAATAAAATGGTTAGGAGAGTCAAAAAAAGGTATACGGCAACGGGCAAACAGCAATCATCAGCCGCCGCAAAAGCACACAAAACACCAACACAGCGAAGCGAGCTCCTCGGGCTCTCCCAGGGCACGCACTCTGTGTGCCGCAATGATCGCAGTCTGCGTGTCACACATCTGGCGCGGTGTGTGCAGGCCCAGGTCGCACCGCGCGCCAGACACATGATCGTAACCGCAGGTTGTTTGAAATAAACAAACAGCATTCGCTAGCATTGTGTTTACGACTTTCAATAGCCTCTCGTTAGTCGCGGAGTCGTTCCCGTATACAAACAGACAATATCTCACGCGCGAGACGACCAGGCCCTGCACGACTGCAAGAAGCATCCGCCGCATGTTTGTTGCTTTACATGATATTCATATTCTGCATTATGCAAGCTTTTTGTTATGTAAGGAAATGGAACGCGCAACGGCTCGTTTCAAGCAAGAAAACAAGATCTCCGACATAAACTTTACTATCATGATATGGACTTTGAGAAATGTCCGGAGTCGGAGCTGCAAGCGGAGTCGGAGTCGAGGTCGATTTTTTAAGTCAAAGTGTGAGTCGGAGTCACCAAAACAATCCGTCGACTCTTCGGCCCTGGGTGCGACACTGTCGCCGTTGAGAGAGAGAGAGAGAGAGAGAGAGAGAGAGAGAGAGAGAGAGAGAGAGAGAGAGAGAGAGAGAGAGAGAGAGGGAGGGGAGGGAGGGAGGGAGGGAGGGAGGGAGGGAGGGAGGGAGGGAGGGAGAGAGGGAGAGAGGGAGGGAGAGAGGGAGAGAGGGAGGGAGAGAGAGAGAGAGAGAGAGAGAGAGAGAGAGAGAGAGAGAGAGAGAGAGAGAGAGAGAGAGAGAGAGAGAGAGAGAGAGAGAGAGAGAGAGCATACCTAATGTGCGTTAGAATTGGCAGTTTGCTCATATGTAAGTAAGACAATTTATTGAAAAAGTCCGGAATATACCTATTTTTGATCCTGGTTCTTCTTCGGAGGGCGTTTCATTCCACCGAAGAAGAATCAGATTCGAAAAAAAATATTTGGGACTTTTCAATTAATTTTCTGTCGGTATGAGCAAAAGCTTCATTCTAGCACCCACATAAGTAATTATTTTTGTGGAGCTTATGAGGCGTCACAACGCTTTGGAGGTAAATTACGCATATGCAATTGCGAATAAGCATATGATTAATGATATTAGCATAGTCTTACGCATTGTCACAGTGAATGGTAAGATCTTCTTTTAATTTCATCGCGCTGGCTGCACTTCGCCTGATGCTGATTATTCCCCCTGTCGCTGTTACAACCTTATCAAATGTGTCCACGATACAGATATTCTTTAGAGGCGTTTTACTTATCGTTGGAGGCCATAATCGTGCTTTTCGGTAATGTTTCTTAGCAAACTGACTGTTGTACCCTACTTTTCACGTCCAGCTGTGGCCATGCCTCTCTCGAAGGTGACCTTACGTGGGCTCGCGGCCGCCGTCTCGCCGTCTGCGTGCAGTGAAGATCAGTCTCCACACCACTTCAGTCAAGGAACAGTACCCATCCTACAAGAGCATTACGACAACAAATGTCACGAGCCCACCGATTTTGACTGCCCAACAAGCGATGACGCTTCGCAACAGCCGGCGGCGGCGTCCGCAGAACAGCTGGGCGGACTGGTCAGCGACATCGTTCAAAGACTGCTGCCCAACGGGTCGGCGCCTAAGGTTGAGCCAGCACCCCTGGCCAGCGCGCCAGGGTCTGATGACCCGACACCGGCGACCGCCGTCTGCAACGGGAAGCGCTCAGCAGGTAGGCGCGGCCTCCGGGGTCCTTGGAGGTGTGGGAGTTACGAGATATACACATTATTGGCACTGATTCATGCATGATGAACTCATACACTCACGCAATACTTATGCAATACTCCGAGTGACAAACTTCTAGGACATAAACTGTAGGAATGACAGAATCACAAGGTTTTTTAGAGGCATGATCACTTAATTTGACCAGGTGACCTGACCTCATGTGACCTGTGGTAAAAATTTCACACACGACGCGAAATTGATGTAGTAAAAGGTATAGCAAGTTTCGCGTCGCGTCTGGTGGGCAGCTTCCCTAGCGCCAAGTTTGCCCCCCCCCCCCCCCCATCTGGGCGAAGATTAGGTAATTTTGTACAGGGAGAGTTAACAATGCAGCAAGTAAAATAGCTCCCGGACGAAATGCCTGAATGAGAAGGTAATGATGTGAGCGTAGGTACGTACTTTTAGCCAAAACGTCGCAAGATGCCGAAGCCTAAATAATGTGAGAATATGCATCGGGGCGATAAAAATAAATGCAAAAATCGATCAGAATGTCATTTACATAAACATCTGCATCTTCAACACAAACACAGTCATCTTAGTGATCTAAGTGTCTGTTCGATCCGATTTGTTTTGATTGTTTTGTTGGGTAAGGCTCTCGGTCTTATGAAACCATTTCAGAGCCGGAAGGATGATAGGAAGTAGGGGAATACATTAGTCTGGGCGGGCACCCTAGTGACTCGTTGGGGCTGAGCCCATCGCGAGGACGGGCTACCCGGCCTCCTGACAGGTGGCGCTACCCGCCTGGGATAGAGCTGCCCGTCCAGCCCGGAGCACGGGGTGGAGGCGTGGAGGAGAAGGATTTGACAGGAGAAGGATTCGACTATCCTGAGGATGGGCACGACGGAACGGAGGTATTTGATCCAATCTGAGCATTACATGTCTTCCTCGTGAAGACGATTTATTGAGTGCGATCATTTCCCCGTCGACCCCCCTCCCCCCCGCGGCTGGGCCTGGGCGCGCCCCTGTGACCGGTCAGTCAGCTGACCGCCCCCGGAGCCCCGCGGGCCGGCCGCCCAGTGCAGTGACCCGCAGTGACCGATCGGGTTGTGGCGGTGAGCGCTCGGTGGCGCGGCGGCGCGGTGCTGGACGACGGTGAAAACAGGCGCCTGGGGCGATTTGATCAAGGCTCTTGACATTTACTCGCACAAACCACGTGACAATCACTGTGTAGAATCGAGAGGGGGAGAACTTCTCCATAGTCACGTGACCAAATATGCCCTCCGGCGCCCTGTCTTCACCAGTGCAGTGTCCGCAGTGCTGCTTTCTTCTCAGTTTCTCATCGTTCTCTTTCTCTCGCTGACAGTAAGGATAGGAATGCCAGTGAAAACGCACAAAAGAACATCGGATTTTACCGAAGTTAAGTAGCAGTACCAATTGAGTGAACACCAAATTCCGGTCTAGTGGCGCATTTCGAAACGGATTCAACTTGTCCGCTTACTACTACTGGTCAATAGCGGCACCGTTCGTCTCTACCATTAATTTGTTCATCGCATTACGCCTCCAACAGAAGCTAAGACGTACATTTTTCTCGCCCTGCAGGTCACCCGATGGCAGTGAGGGCTTCTCCACAGCGCTTCTCTCGAGCTCCCGACAACGAATACCCGCGAGATCCGACCCCAGTGAGCAGGGTCCCGGGATGGACTGTGCGCGCCGCCCTGGCGCTCAAACAGGTGAGCAGATGTCTGTACTTTTTTTCTCTGAATGAGCGGATACGGTTTTGGTGGTGCAACTACAAAAATTACGTGATTCAAATGCATTGGAAACATAATGACTTTAGAGAACTGTTACACTGTCATCGAAGGAATGGCGACACAATGCCTTTCAAAGCGAAGTATCCACAGCATTGACATTAGCAAAAACGAATTAATACTTATCATTTAGCACTTAACTCTTGTGAGCTATCGATGTTTTTTTCCAGGTTTCCTATCTTTCATAGTTTTCGAGATGATCAGGTGTAGCCAAAGAAGCCTCTCCTCACCAATTCACAGTGGTGAATACGGGCCTTACTAACAACTGGATAAAATAAGATGGCTGGCCAGGCGACGTACGATAGCTATGATGCTTTTTTAATATAAACACGGTAATAGATGGACGTGAAACCGTAAAATGGCACTCATAGACAAATCAATAAGTAGATATTTATTCGTTCATATCTAGCATTGATATATAACAAGCTCTGCTAGCGCCATCATACGGCGTCAGCTGGCAAACTATCCAGAAAATAGCACGGCCCGTGAATACGACCGAGATCCCATCCAGGCGCAGCGGATTTCGTAATAATTCGTACAAGGAGTCGCTATAATACCATTATATACACATCTAAAAACATAAGCAGGGGCTGGTAACCCTTTGCTTATTTGAAAGCGGAGTCATGATGCTGATGGACGATTGCCAGGTGCAAATAACTGCGACGAACGCCTTGCGCCGACAGCCATTGTAAATCTAACGGCATACAGATAAACAGCTCGAATAATCGTCCAAGATCTGCAAATCAATCACGGGGTTTAGGGGGGACGAGAGGCCGCATAATTGAAAAACACATTAATTAGTGTTGTCAGCACCTCACCAAAGAAATAACTAGAGTAGATACCATATATGAGATTATATTTAATACAACAATGACCAAGACGTTATCCCTTTGAACTGTTCACTTATCATTTCTATTCAGTTTTTTTTTATGGGCGTCCAGTTCAGAGCATGAGGGAGAAAGGCAAGGGAAGGGCACTGAGAGGAAACCTGGGAGCGAAAAAGTATAATAAGCGAAACGTGACGCCATAGACCGGTGCCCAGTGATGTCACCGGCCGGTGTGTGCCCAGTGACGTCACTCACCTGGCTCGCGCTGGCTCGGCCGTGTCCTCTGTAGATACGATAGATGCCCGCTCCTGGCGGTCCGCCTCTCGTCGCTGGTGGCCAGACATGGAGCCAGAGTCTCCGTTTTCATCGTCCATGGGAAACACTCCTGAGAAACACCAGGGACGGGACCGGTCACAGACGGGTAACGAGGGGCAACACGCAGGGTAATGGTCAGGTTACGGACCCGTAAGTCAGGAATCTGTGGCCAGTGTACCCAGCAAAAAAAAAAAATGCTGCCTGTGATTATCTATTGTTCAAGTCACCACCGAATTTCCCCAGCCACACGAAATAAGTTACTAACCGATTATGTGAAAAAAAAATATCGACTTATGTTTCAACATCTGTATTTTGTGTGTGTGTTTTTTAAATTATTTAGTTGAATCACAAGGTCATGATTTCAACATTTGCATTTGTTTTTGATCAAGTTGATGGATACATGCATCCGGGGTAGGTTGATCACGTAGGGACCTACCACATAACATCCACAAATAACGGTGCCCCATATTCGGTTCACCACCTGCACAACATATTAATTATCGATTTATGCACTAAACGCGCTTTTAGCTGCCCCAGCTCCTCATTTAAACCCACAAAGCAGCTGGTCCCAAGACAGCACATCGAGGTCGCTGCCAAACAGTACCGGTAGGGGGCGCAGCAGTCTGGGAGGGCCGAGGCACGGAGGGCTGGCCGGGGGCGCGGGGTACAGGGCAGGGGCAGGGGCGGTGTCCTGCAGGTCACCTCAGGGGATACACAATACACATGCCGGGGGTGTCTCCGTGGCGACGGCAGAGCGCCAGTGGCCGGCTCCACTGACAACAGCGGCAGACAGAGTCGGTGCCCCGCGCCCGCCGCGCGCCGCGCGCCGCAGTAGAGCGGCGCTATCGATTGAGACCGGCCGCGTGGGAGCTGGTCGGGCCGGCACCTCGGGAGCAAACACAACACTGCGAGGACCGTGGAGAGTGGCTGGTGAAAACGAAATTAAAGCGAGTACATCCTACGAAGCATTACGAAGGGCGACAACCATCATTTCAAAAGTAATTGAAACGATCAAGATCTAAGTAATAATTGAAAACCGCCAACTTGCAAGATAAGTGGACATTTAACTGGAAGCTGAAATATTCAAAATCTGTACATGAAATGTCCCCTTTCTAATCGTTTCAGAATTCGCTCACTAAGCTGAACATCTGTCAGCCTGGTTGGCTAACTGCAGATTTGAGCGTTTGTTAGAAAGATAAGACTAAAAATGAGCACAGAAACTACCACCGGCAACATCAGACACCAGGTGAGCTGTGTGATGTGATCGGTCTGAATTTTAACCCATAATCGCACCTCAGAAACGTGCAGTGCTTAATAGTGTCATATGTAAGATGCGAGCTTAAAGTACTGGCTAAGTGTTGTTCGTTTGAAATTTGGAAAGTGTCTGTACCGTTCGGGGCCATTTTCAGCTGATTATGGCAAAGGCCAGGTCACGGCAAGGTAAAAAAAGACCCCCAGTCATGCGTCAAATATTTACCAAAGCATCTTTATTTAGGTTTAGAGAAGCCTATGTATAGGGAACTCTGTGCTACGACCCAAACCAAAACAAAACAAACGATTCCTGCGTGCCACCGCTGTAATAGACCCGCGGCAATTCACACATCATTGGCAGCCACCGGCGGGGCAGCGACCGTTTTTTGGCGCCTAAAGGAACCCTCGGCCGCTGCCAAATAGCTCGGCCCAACATCGGTAAACAGGGGTCAAACCGGGGTGTTTCTGTGCGCCGGGTGAACTCACTGGCCCACCGATGGCCTCAGTGGGTGCTGGCTCGGTGTGATCGCGCTAACGTCAAGAGTACTGAATTTATGTACATTTCATTGTACAGTCGTGTACAGGTTGATGGTCCCCCACTCTTTATCCACCGGGTTCCTATGGCTCAGCATTGGCAGCAGCCGCCTGGTACCGGTAGGCTGTGCCGCATGACCCGAGAGTGAAGCGGCACAGTCTACCCACGCCGTTTGACATCGGCTCGGGTCGCCGGGTGGAGCGCTTTGTAGACCAGCTGTCGCGTCAGACCAGCGCGGGGGGAGGGGCTCGTCTCGGTGGTTGGCGTGGGCTGGCGAGTGGTGTGGGGCGTGCTGGTGGACCATGGGGGCTGGGCGGGTGTGTACTGTGTGTGGTCACTTGCTGCATTGCACATTTTGCGTCGCTTAACAATTGCATTCTTGTTTTTGCTAAGCACAATGCACGGAAGACCCAGCGAATATAATTTACTTGTGCATTGTGCAAAACGTGATTTGGCACGGTATCGAGGCAACCACAGGTCTTGTGCCACATATATGCATGATATTTAGGCAATACGCTTATGAAAATGGTAGATTGATCGGATTGATCCTGGATGTCAATTCGTATGCTAAATGTCGACATGTATTAAACGAACGAATGAATGAATCAATCAATCAATTGACAATCGACATGTAGATATAAAACCGTATAAATGGCTCGCAACCACTAAAATCAAACCAGATCCTAACTCGGAAAAGTAGCCGGTGCCCCGATGAGGCTCGAACCGGGACTCCACGCTGAAAGTTTTGCCAATGATCCATCATCATTCCACCAAGCTAGAGCGACCGGCACCCGAAACCACAAAAACATTCATTGACTTTGCTGCCGACCTCCGGCCCCCCGCTCGCCCGGCCAGACTTTGCCCCGGCCGTGGCCACCATCCGGTGTGGCTCAGCGTAGGAGTGCTAGACTGTCAAACTGACCGGTAGTGAGAGGCCCGGTTCGAGACGCTTCGCGTGCTGGATGTTTATTTCTGTGTCCGAGGCTACGCGATTAGTCCACTTTTCAAAAAAAAAATATTTGGTGACAGGTCTGTTTTCTTTCTTTGCTGCAATTCATGAGGAGACCGTATGGACCCTTACCTGTCCTTCCGCACCCCACTTGGGAGATGGATGCTTGAACCCCCCTGGGTTTTGCGAATATCTTTAAAGCGAATTTTTGGAGGGTGGATTACGATCGGTTCTATGCGACAAGTGACCACACACACCCAGCCCCAGGTCCGCTCACTCCCTCCCCACATCACCCCCGCCCCACACCACACTCCAGCCCGCCTCATCCACCGAGCCGAGCCAAATAGACAGACCTGACCCTTACCCCCCCCCCTCCCCCCAGCCGGTGTAACGCAGCGTCCGGTCAAATCGCTCTTCCAGGCGACCCGAGCCGGTGTCATACAGTGTGGGTAGGCTGTGCCGCTTCACTCTCGGGTCATGCGGCACAGCCTACCGGTACCAGGCGGCTGCTGCCAATGCTGAGCCATAGGAACCCGGTGGATAAAGAGTAGGGGACCATCAACCTGTACACGACTGTACACACCCGTTCAGTGGGGTAATAGATGCGAAGTTAATCCTAATTTTAGAACAGCTTGGGGTGTTTTTTCGTGGGTGACGTTAACCAGCATCAACAATTAACAATCAAAAGTTTTTGCGACATAAAAAATAACAGGGGAAAATGCCATCTTTAGAGAAAAAGAACACAAAAACAGGTATCAAGGTATGTGTCAACCCATCGCACTCGACTTGAAACTTAACGGCGTTGTAATATCAACCTGTCAAAAACTTATCCACTACCTATCTTCGCCACAGATCTAGCCCTGGCGAACACACTGAGAAGTCTGCCTACACCTTTCGATGGGGTATTCTTTGTCGCACTGTTATCGACAACAAGAGCAAAATCAAAACAAAAGCCACACCCGCTGACTAGTCGACAATATCCATTTTCACGACGATTTATCCGGCAAATGCACAAAACTTTACCAAATCTATCCGAATTCTTTTACAACAAATACCTTGTCATTCCAAAGTTAAATACGTCAATAAAGTTTAATAATTTGATGGGGAAAGCAAGAAGGTATATAAACATAAATTGCTCACAAATTTTAAAACTAGTAAGAATTAGCTTCGTACCTAATCCGACCAAATCGCACCCAAGGTTCCGTCGTGAAAACGGCTAATAAAGACGCCCAAAGTGACTCCTCTATTCCTACGTCCACAGGTGCTGGCAGCTCTGGTGCTGTCACAGGCGAACGTGGTGTTCGGCGTCATGGTGGCGTACGGCAGTCTGTTCGTCAGCAGCTCCGACACGGGCGAGTACCGTC